AAGTCAGCATTGTTCATGCATGCACATTCCAGTCCATTTTCCTTGGCTGCCAGGTTACATCGATGTCACCCAAACCATGCTCATTATATTCCCAATGGCTGGACTTTTCCCAGACAGAGTCATATGGGTAACCTATAGAGGCAGACAATGGTGTGGTCATCCTTAGAGGCAAGGGGGAGGTGGAGGCTGGATAGAGATGGGCAAAGGAGAGAAATGGGGATATCTGTAATAGTGTCAACAATAAAAATTTAAACAAACTTATTAAACACCATTTTAGTGGCAGGCCTTCTTTAGAGCACTATTAATAGCTCAATGGGCCTTCTTTCCAGTGAAACAACACCATGGGTAAAAAAGTATTTTTATAATCCACCAATTTAAAGTTCCTTGAAATGGCCTTGAGGACAAATAGTAAATGGAGAAAAAATTTTTCAGGAAAGCTACCTGACTTGCTAAGAACCAAGTCAGTAGCATTCAAGCTATGACCTGCCCCTTTCCTCTATTCCCCCCACCTGTGTGATGTAAGTTCTACTTCAGAGAAACACATCCAAGAAGCAGAATTACTCTCTAATTCCAGATATCAGTGTAGAGCTACAGGTCCACCCTACGAGGGACAGGACACTGACATCTCATCTTGCCCAGGTTCACGTTATAGAAACACTGTTCCCATTAGGTAAAACTGAGTGGATAGGGGCTGCCAATTCCCATCCAGTTCCCATTCGTACAGTTAGACCTTTGCCCAAGGTACAGCAAGCTGACAGTTTAGGGACCCAGGGGCTACTGCCTCAAATTCCTGTCCAGCAATTCCTCATTGCAAAGGGCAAGGGTGGTCATATTACAGATCACAAACTTGACTTTAAGCCAAAAAACATAAGATGAGACAAAGAAAGACTTATACAGTGATAAAAGGGTAAATTCTCCAGCAAGATGTAATGATTATAAATACATATGCATCAAATATGCCCCACATATGAGGTAAACAGTTCACACAATTGAAGTGAGAAATAGTAACACAATAATAGTGGAAGATTTGAATATCCCACATTTAATAATGAAAAACCAGATAGAAAATTGATAAGGAAACACTCCATTCCATTCAATTAAACATATACTTGCCATCTGATCAAGCAATCCAACTTACAGAAATTACCTAAGTGCAATGCAAAAACAAGATTAGACAGATATTTAGTAATTTTATTCCAAATATCCAGATATTGGAACCCACCCAAATGCCCTGCAACTGATAAATGTACAATCTGTGATATATATATATATATCACACACACACACACACACACACATATATATGTATATATAATAACAACAATCTGATATATGTATGTAATGGAATACTATTAAGCAGTAATAAAAGAGATTTTACTAATAATATATTACAGGTAGGAATGTATTACTAAAAAATTCATTTGTTGGAGTCCTCATCCTCAGTACTTCAAAATGGAACCTTGTTTGGAAATAAGATTTTTGCTGATTTAATTAGGTAAGATTAAGTCATAATGGAGCAGGCTAATCTTGGAATCCAGTATGAGTTATGTCCTTTTAAGAAGAAAAATCTGGGAGGTAACATCAGAGGGATGGTGGTGTGAGAGGTCTCCTTGGCCTCTCTCTTTGAAGTTTTGACAGTTTGAACAGATATAATTGAACAAAGGATTCCCTGCTCAACACACAAACAGCATGCTAAGTGAAAGAGGCCAGACAGAAGAGCTATGTAGACTAGGCTTTTATTTATAGGACATTACTGCAAAGGCAAAATTATTAGGATATAAACGTTAGTGGCTGGGACAGTGTGTGGGAGGAGTTCAACATGAAGGGAAACTCAGAATGTTTGTTTGATCATGGAACTCCTCTATTGATGATTTTGTTCATGATTATATGACCATGTACATTGGACCAAACTTGAAGATTTATACACTAAAACCTATAGATATTATTGTTGTTTGTAAATGATACTATAACTAGAAAATAGAAAAAAATGAGTAGTAACAAGTAATATGAAAACATGTGAACCCTCCTCATATCCAGCTCAGTTCCTACAGGTAATTTAATTGCTTCTTTTTTTGAAGTTGGGATGAGAATTTTATAGAAGACTTCATGGGAGACATCCCCAAAGAACAACATGTCTCTACCGTTCCTTCTGATTCCCATGAGTTAGCCTCTGAAATCCCACTGTGACTCAACAGGAAATCATTTTAAAGGGACCAGACTGTGAGCTAAGGTGCCTTGGCTATCATTTACTTATCTGAATTCTAATCATTGCTAGTGCATCTGGGCCTTTCCTCTACCCCTGATCTGAGGATTTGCTATAAGCCTGCAGTGGTAGCCAGGGAAAACATCTCAAGATGAATCTTGCATGGATTGATTTTAAAATGATAACCCCTCTTGGTTTTAAAAAGCTTTCTTAATTTGCTATTTACAAACACTTCTGTAAATAAATGAGAGAGGTAATTTTATTCTTTATTTTAGAATTAAGGAGAAGACAAGAGACTCCTCCAAAGCACAGTGAGAATTAATGGTGGATTCAAGACTTGTGCTCAGTTTTCCTACTTCATGTTGGGGTTTTCCTCCACCTTTACTTGTCTTAGAGATCTAGGAATCTTTTCACCAGTACCTGATAGACAACATCACCAAGAGTATATATGCATACATTTCCATGTCTAGATTTCAGATTTCAGAAGCACTAATCAGGATTGACTTTCCCACTCACTGCAAGAGCAAGGTAAGCTTCTACATTTTATACATATTGTTAGTGAGAACTATAATATATGTAAAATCCATGGGACAGTTGTACCTACTATGAGTTATTTGAGCACACAGCCAGGTGTTTTGCACTTTTTTTTTTACAACACTGAGAGTAGGATTTAAATGTCAAAACTTCAGTAAGAAATATAGTGATATTTATGGCATATCCTTATGTTGCTTTCCTAGAAAGGATTAGCCAATTAAAAGGTAACACTCTTATTGAGTGAGTCTTAATTCACCTTATTTACTATCTGTTGTGCTTTCACTGGAGGTTTAATACAAACACAAGACAGTGCAAAACTTTCCTTGACACCACAGAAGTTTTGGAATTGAATCAGCATGATCCATTGTACTCTTTTCCCCATAATCTCATCCTTATTACAATGTTACAAACACATGTGCAAATGTTGATGGTGAGGTGGCTAAGGGTATAGGCTTTTGATTTGGTCACAGATGAATTTAAATCATGAATCTTGAACTTTCCTCATATTAGCTGTGCAACTATAGAGCTTTACATAGCTTCTCAACTCCTCAGTTGTCTTAATGGTCAAAAGGGAATTATAATATCACCTACCTTACAACATTATTGTGAGGATTAAACAAAGTTATGTTCATTTAAATACATATATGTACACATACCTAAATATAATTAAATATACCCATCATTTTTATTATTGTTTGCAGAACATAATATATTCCACAAGAGGTTATGGTTGTCAGAGGTTGACAAACCTAATCACTTTAGGGGCTAGGCTTGTGCAGAGAAGATAAGAGAGAGTGAGGACAATGGTGGAGAATAATGACTAGTGCATGATGGGTGTCCTAAATATATCCAATTCAGAATAAAAAGATAGCACACATGTTTTGACTCAAGAACAATTATATAAAAATTTTAAACATCAATCTCCCTACCAAAGCAAACCTGGAGGCTAGAGGCAGCCAATAAATTAGGAAATTTCAACCCAGATTTCTGTGATTGTGCTCTGAGATGTGAGTAACAGGAAAAAGAATAGGTTTAAGAAAGAAGGATGATTTCAAGCTCACACATGGGTTGCAAGGAAGAATTAAGCAAAATAATGGCTCACATGGAATTGCTGGACCAGACAGTACTATGGGTGAAGCAAAGAATTGGAGAAACTAGAGACAGAGAAAAATCTCAGTGGAGCCAGGGTGTGAGAAAAGGCAAACTGAAGAGGAAGGCTTTAGGACTTTAAACCCCTTGCACACTTGAAGACGTGCAGGTCACCACCCATTTTTCCTAAACCAACATAAAGATAATTATATCATCCTAGCAGTAATATTTTAGCTAGCCCTCATCAGACTGTGCCAAATGCAGAGTTTTCTTGTTTTTTTAATATGCTACCTTATTTAATTCTCACAAGAACACTATAAATGAAGTCTTCTTACTGTCTTATCTTTGCAGATGAGTATATAAGTTTCAGGTATGTTAGGTTAGGATTAATGATTGCTAGGCAGCAAACAGTTGGGGTAATACACACCTCAGCCCAGAGTCCAAGCTCTGTACCAGATGCTTTCCCTTCTCTTCAGAATTGCATCTCTTGGTTGGGTATGTTCCTACCATATAAATCTCTGAATTATGACACTATGAATCCCAAGCACTGAGTTTAAATGAAGGGAGATGAGGAGTAACTGTACATTGAGTAGAATTCAATTTTGCTGAAATACAATTAAGCCCATCAGATTTAGGAACCACTGAGTGTGGATTCAAGGGTTGGCTTGTCAATTAATATTTGTTTGCATATAAAAAATGACTGAACCTCTAGTGCATCCTAGTATAAATGGATGTAATAAAAAAATAAACATAGTATTCTTAAGAGGACATAATGTATATTCTTTTAAAGTGCATTGAGTTCTTTCTGACAGGGGAGCAACATGAAAGTATATGCTTTCAGTAGGCTTTCGAAAAGTCAATTGACAGGTACATTCACTGTGGATAAGCCATTCATGGAGTTATTTAATATACTATATCTCAATTTACAAATTTATGAACTTGAAGGTTAGGGAAATTTTCCATAAGGATCCTTCAGATTCAACAACATGTAAACAGATATAATTAATGCACTTTGTTTTCTTATGAAGCCCATATTTTGTCTGGAGAATCTTGAAATACAAGTTATTGCTGTAACGACATAATACATGTTGCATGTACACTTCTCAATTTAAGTGTCTTTGTCACTGTTTCATTGTTCTCCTAGCCACCAAGCATTTTGTGATTCTCCACATTGATGGAGAATGCTACAGAAGTGATTGAATTCATCCTCCTTGGACTAACCAATGACCCAGAGCTGCAAGTGCCACTCTTGATCATGTTCACTGTCATCTACCTCGTGACAGTGATTGGGAATTTGGGAATTATGGTGTTGATTCTCTTGGACTCTTATCTCCACACTCCCATGTACTTTTTCCTCAGTAACCTGTCTCTGGCAGATTTGTGTTACTCTTCAGCTGTCACTCCTACAGTCATGGCTGGATTTCTTCTAGAGCACAAAGTCATCTCCTACAATGCATGTGCTGCTCAGATGTTCTTTTTTTTAGCCTTTGCCACTGTGGAAAATTTCCTCTTGGCCTCCATGGCCTATGACCGCTATGTGGCAGTGTGCAAACCCCTCCATTATACCAGGACCATGACCTCTGGTTTGTGTGGGAGTCTGGCCATAGGTTGCTATGTCTGTGGGTTCCTGAATGCCTCCATCCACATTGGGGACACATTCAGCCTCTCTTTCTGTGAGTCCAATGTGGTCCATCACTTTTTCTGTGATGTTCCAGCAGTCATGGTTCTCTCTTGCTCTGATAGACATATTAGTGAGCTGGTTCTTATTTATGTAGCGATCTGCAACATCGCTTTTGCAGTTCTGGTTATCTTGACTTCCTACATATTCATATTTATCACCATCCTAAACATGCACTCATCTACAGGGTATCAGAAAGCTCTGTCCACCTGTGCCTCCCACTTCACTGCAGTCTCCATCTTCTATGGGACTGTCATCTTTGTGTACTTACAGCCCAACTCCAGCCATTCCAGTGACACAGAAAAAATTGCATCTGTGTTTTATACAATGGTCATCCCCATGCTGAACCCCCTGGTCTACAGCCTGAGGAACAAGGAGGTTAAGAGTGCACTCATGAAGGTTGTCTTAAAGGCAAAACTGTCTTTCAGATTCTGATTTGAGCATTGTGCAATGCACAGTAACCTAGTTTCCTTAAGACCACAGGAAAATAAGGTCCCAAAGTAATCACCTTACCCTTTCCAAATTCTCCTGTCCTAAAAATGGGAAACATTATTTCCAGAAATGTACCTGAACAGGAAAGGCTAAGATGTCTTGAGGTTCACTTGTGAAAAACCTTGTTAAGGATATTTTTTATTCACTCATTCAACATGCTTTTGTTTGTTCTACCACGTCAATGCAAATACTCATAAAATAAGGCCACAAATAAGACCATGAACAAAGTGCACCCATGTGCCCCAAGAGGATACCTACAGCTTCAAATAGAAACCAATAATGTTGTACATTTTGCTTCTGGAAATGCTTTGAAACTGTTAATGCAAATATTTTATGTCTACTTTTGTGATTTAAATGATCTTTTTAAAAACATTTAAAAAGTATATTTTATTGACTATACTATTACAGTTGTCCCATTTTTTTCTCCATTTTATTCCCCTCCATGCTGTATTCCCCCTCTCACCATCATTCCCTCACCATAGTTCATGTCTATGGGTCATACATAGAAGTTCTTCAGCTTCTCCATTTCTCATACTATTCTTAATATTACTTCCCCATCCTTTTACCCTACTTCAATCACACTGATTTTTCTTCCTATATTTTAATGTGACAATGCCAAACAGGTTTCTGCCTCAGGGCATCTGTACTTACTCTTCCCTATGTGGAATGTTCCCTTATTGCATTAAGGTTGGTTCTTAAATATTACCCTATCATAGACTTTTTTCTTGACCATCTTTGTAAAATGGTCATTGTTTATTGCCATGCAGAATGTTCTTTCACTCTAAGTTATTCTTTCTAAAAAAATTGTCACCCATTTTGTTCATGACCACAGGCAAGAAAACATGGATCAGACTAAAAGTGACCAGAGGCAGGGAGGGGGTAATGTTGGAATGAAGAGGAAGAGACTAGACAAAGAACATGTGTGAATGACCCACAGACATGCACAGCAGTTTGGGAAGTGGGTGATGGGTTGGGTGGAGGAGGGCAAACAGGGAAAAATTGAGACAACTGTAATGAAATAACAGTAAAGAGTGATAAAAGAAAATTCTCATGGAAGAACTTCTTTTTATTGATACTAGAGAGAAAAGAAAGGAATAGAGAGAAACACCCTGACCAGGGATGGAACCCCCAACCTAAGTATGGGCCCTCACAGGAACTGGAACCTGCAAGTTTTGGTATGAGGGATGACACTCCAACTTACTGAGGCTCCCAGCCATGGCACTCTGGGTTGTTCTTCATGGTCCTCATGAGTCATCACCTATTGAATGTTCACTTGTTCACTTTATTATCTCTCATCCCCAACTATAACTTAGACTCTATGAAAGCAATGGCTTTATCTGTTTTATTTACATGATCCACAGTCCTAAGGAGAATCTATTTCATACCCAATTTTCAATAACTATTTGTGAAATGAGTAAAAGTATTAAGCTTTGAGTCCAGCTGTATCAATATGGTGAATTTTTAAACTATTGGTGATTGTAGTGTATCATCCATAACAGATACTTTCTAGACAAATGTATAGTGCATTTTAAGAAGCACAGCTCATTTTCTACTTTCCTGTGCATTCCCACTCACTGTGTGCACCCCAATGTTTGGACACAAAGATTTCTTGGATCCCAAAAGCAAATGAATCATCTGTAACAACTTTATAGTTTTACTTAGAAATGATGTCTCATTAAGTGGCAACAACTAAAATGTCAAATAAAATCAGAAAAAGGCATTGAATATGAGATTATTTAAAGGTTCACTATCTGATTATATTTGAAAATACTTTGTACATGTGAAATGTAGCTAACTAAAATGATTCTAAATATCTATATAGAATATAAACATGGCAGTATCTATCAAAATAAAAATATAGGACATTCAACATGCTAGTTCAGGGATTAAACTTTATGCTTTTAATATTGATTCTCAGGGACCTCTATACTGTACAAAACCTACCCACACAAATATGTGCCTTTGTCTAATTTGCTGTCTCAATAGAATAAGAGGTTTCAATAGCTCACTATTTGTAAGATTTTGCTTGGAGAAGATAATATTCTCCTGCTGGTGTTTTGGGGGCTGAGTAGCATAACACAAATATTCACTTGTATCTTTATGGTGCTATTTCCCCTCTTGGAACCATTTTTAATTCTTATTTTAAATAATCATTTAATTTTAGGATTATTTTAGAGTTACAGAAAAAAAGTTAAAACAGTGCAGATTCAGTGCAACCCTGTGACAGTCTGCATAACAGCCTGCAAAAGGACCATCCTTATTTTTGGAAACTTTCAGAGTTACCTTCTCTGACCTGAAAGGACTGTGTGGATGTGATTAAAGGAAGGATTTTATCTGGGATCATCTCTGTGAACCCTAAAAGGCACTCTCATGGAAACCTAAGAGAAAGTCAAGGAGAAGTGACCACAGATAAAGGCTAAAGAGGAGGAGTGTGCTATGTGACCTTGGAGGGTGAGACAAAGGGCGTGTGACCACAAACCATGGAATGGTAGCAGCCACCAGAAGATGCAAGGCTGTTGAAACAAACTGATTTTTGTCCTGGGAAAATAATTTTGAACTTATGGATTCCAGAGTGTGAATGAATAAAGTTTGCAGTAATTTGGTATAGCAGCCATACAAATGAATAAAATTCTTGCTTAATATTCCCTACAGGATATCTATTGGTACTGCTAAGAAACCAAGATTGACATAGTATGATTTTCTAAACTGCAGATTTTATTCAGATTTCATTAGGTTTCCCCCTAATATCCTATCCTCTGTTTGCATTTAGTTACTGTGTTTCCTAATTCTCTTCTGGTCTGTCACAAGCTCTCCATCTTTCCCTATTTTTGTTGACCATGGCAGTGTTGAGAGTACTAGTCAGGTATTTCACAGAATGTTCTTCAGTTGTGGTTTTGTGATATTTCCTTATGATGTGACTGGAATTACAGTTGTCAGAGACTAAAGTGAAATGTTTTCATTACATCATATCAGCAAGATTTGTCTCTTTTCTTCAATTATTTATTTGCTGAGTCATTTCCTAGTTTTCTCATGTATTTATTTTTTAATATGGAAAATAACCAATAATAGGTTTGGGTTTGACTCAGATTGTTCCACCATCACCATTCGTAGTTCTGTCTCTTGTGACCCATTGATATAGCTTCATTCCTTCACTGTTTCTGGGGGGATTTTTTTGTTGGATTTTTTTTGTTTGTTTTTGCACTCCCTCACTTTCTGTTACTACAAAATGCTACATAGAGGCTGGTCTAGTATTTCTCCTACCCCTATCACAAAATTAACTATTTCTGTTATGGGACAAACTCCCAGAAACTCAGTTCTTCCTGCCAATGCAGTGAAGAATTAAAGATCAATGAATGAGTCTATTAACATGTAAGCATGGTTTATTGGTGATCAGTTCTCAGGGAAGACAATGGGCCTAGGTAAGGTGGGGTTTGGGGGAGCTCAAAGGGATAGGTTCAGGGTGAGGCAGGGTAAAGGCAGGGAAGGTAGGGGCAGCCAAAAATGAGTGGGGTGGCAAGCATGCATGTCCTTTGTTCTGAAGACTTATATAGTTGGCAGGCAGAGGGTAAGAGGGATTACATATTGATTGATGGGTAAAGATGGTGGTAGCTTTCTCAGACTGGGGAGTGAATACCCAAGCTGTTAATGGGCTTCTTCCATAGGCACTATGGGCCTTTTCCTGCTGTTCATGCCTTGAAATAAAAGCACAGTTTCAAAGACTTTCTTTCCCAGACAATGGAAAAGATACCTAGAATTTCCAGGACTGTTGAGCCAGTGGGTGGGACATGGATGCCTCCTCCTCCCTGCTTGTGTTTCCTCTCTGGCCACTCTTTCTACCATCACGTTTCTATGAAGAATCTCCCTTCTTTTATGAAAAAGTGGCATTTAAAAGCCAATATGGCATTTAAGAGCCAGTATTTGAATCCAGTTATGCTTGTTGATACTGGAGTTTTACTTCTAGGCGCCCTTGTGCACAGAAGTAGGAGGTATATATTTATGTACTTTTGTAACCAGAAAAGACACCAGCGTTTGGGCTGCCTGTTACTACCAAATCCAATAAGCAATGACAGTGATCGATCTTTTATAGGCGCTTTATTCAGATGGCCGGAGATCCCAGAAGATGGCGGGTTCATACCCTAACAAACCATCTTCCCCTTCCTTTTTTGGCCAGATCTTTTATAAGGAGGTTGGGGAAGACAAAAACAAAGTCAGTGAGAGAGAGTCCTTGAAGTTCCCAGCTGCACTTCTTTCCTGGCAGTTAGCTGTCTCCAAGTGGGAGGGTAGTCGCCTGCTTCTTCCTGATACGGATGTCTCCAAGCTGTAATCTTTAGCCAGCAACCCAGGAGGTCAGCTGCTTTTTCTCAGGTGCCAGATAGGTTTTATCTGTAGTTTCTGCAACAAAGGGCTTAACATACACATTTTGCTAGATTTATGGCTATTTACTTTAAGCTAAAATTTTCCATGTTTTGAGTCCCCTATCACTTTGTATACATTCGTAATGTACGGTTATTCTCTACCTATCCCTCATAACTATATGAAGTTAAACACTACTGTATACTGATGTTTCTGACTCTCATTCACAATTTTCAAACTGTGTGCTGCAGAATTTTTAAAACAACTTATACCTGATTATTTAGTCAGAGGCACAAACCTCTTTCCCTTAGATTGTCAAATAAAAAAATGACAGGAGCCAACACAATAGCCATCCATGGGAATGAATAGAAATTATACCTATTTTTTAATCACATTAGCAAAAAATATTTTTTTTGGTATGCTTCAGAATTTTAGTAACTAGTCATGTGTGACAGGAGATGGAACAGATTGACAATGGCTGCTCTAATCCATTTCACCCAAACTTGTCCCTTTTCTTATCTGTAACTTCCTTCTCTGATAGCAAGAGACTTGGTTCTCAAGGAATCCCATTCATTAATTTATTGGTGTGACTGGTTTGCAGGTAAATGAGTTCCATAATTGTTTTTTATTTAACCTTTATTGTATATATGCATTATCATTAGTCCCCTTATCCCCCTTTCCCCCAGCAGTCACCACACTGCTGTCCATGTCCACGAGTCCTTTTCCCTAAATTTTACTCAATCCCTCCATCCCCAACCTCCCTACAACTACATGCTGTCTCCTTTTCATCCATGAGCTTATTTCTTTTTGCTTCTTACTTCAGTTTGTTCTTAATCTATACCACCATGAGAATCAACTTGATACCACTGTATAGTCCTTTTTATGGTTTCTTTTACTTTTAAATTTGGGATATGTATTGTTTTTCAACACTAGTTAGGTCAGCTCATTTCTTCCCCTATTTCCCTTCAGAGAGGTTTAACTCACACCTTTGTAGTACAATCAGATTTTTAAAAGACTCCACGTGTACTCCTGGGATTCTTCTGTACTCCTGGCTGATTCTTTCTGATTTGTGTATATTAAATTTCATGCTTTGCTGAGTATAGTTGTATGGGTTTAACAAATGCATAGTCATATGTTCACCAGCCCACTACCATGGATATTAATTTTATTATTCTAAAACTTCCCTTTTTATCCCTGTTATAGACAGCCATTCTCCTCCTTCTCAACCCTTAGAAATCATTGAGCTTTTTTCATCCCTGTTACGTACAGGGAATCACACAACAAGGAGCCTTTAGGTCTTTCTTCTTTCACATTAAAATCTACTTTAGGTTCATCCATATTGGTGCACCAATCAATATTATTCTATTTTATTACTGAACAGTGTTCCAGTTTAATGATGTTCTACAATTTGCAGGTGCATCTGGTTGCTTCTGTTCATGAATTCCTAAACTCAATAACACTTAAAGACATTTCTGTAGAGGTTTCTGGTGGAACACATGGTTTCACTTTACATTTAACATTCAGTTCTTCCTTTGCATGTGAACTGACAGCTGTTTGAACAAAATTTTTTTAAAAACAGATTTTTGTCATGTACTGGCTTTGCATCTTTTACAAAAATTAATTGCTTATATATCTGTTAATCCTTTGGATGCTATAACCTGTTCCATTTACTTGTGAGCCCATCTTTTCCCTAATTCTACAGTGTCTTCATCACTAGAAGTCATAGTTAGTTGGGAAATGAAATAACTTTAATACTCATACTTTGTTTTTATTTTTCGTAACTATTTTGTTTATTAGTTTTGCAATTACATATAAATTTATAATCACCATGTCAATATTTATACTAAAAAAAGCCTTACATGGGTTTCAACTGTGATCCCATGGAGTCTAAAAGCAGCCAACTTTAAGTCTCCTGATCCATGAATGTGGTATATCTTTACACTCATTTATCCGAAGTTTTATTCTTCAGTAGGCTATAATTTTTCACCCCTTTTAAGACAAATATCTGAAATATACTCAAAGAACTAAAGAACATCTTGAACAAAAAACTAAAGGAAATCAGGAATATTTGGTATCAGAAAATAGAGAATATTAATAGAGACAAAATGTGTAAGAAGTACCAGAGAGAAATTCTGGAGGAAAACCAAGAAGAGCTGAGGTAGACATCAGGAAGGCTGAGATTTCCTTATTTTAAAAAATTAGTATCTTTGGTACTTTTCAAAAAAATTTAATATTCATGATCAGGTTACGATAGAATAACAATCTATGGGGTAGATGGAGAGGGCTTTTCATCTTGTGAATTCAGAAAATCAGGGGTGTAAAAAGAAGGAAATCTGACCTTTTGTGACAGCATGAGTGGACCTGGAGAGTATTGTACTAATTGCAATAAGCCAGTCAGGGAAAGATGAATGATCTCACTTATATGTGGGATCCAATGAAGAGAATAAACAGATTTATAAAATGGAAACAGGGGCATGGATACATGGAACAGACTAACAACTGTCAGAGAAGAAAGCAGAGGAAGGGAGCAGACTGGATGAAAGAATGTGAAGGTGTGAGGCAAAGAACATGTATGACAAGGTGTTCCAGAAAGTATCCAGCCACGAAATATGAAAAATAGAGATTTTATATCTTTTTCAATAAAAGATATAAAATACCAGAAATACTACACATAGGAGAATGATTCCTCAGTCCCCTTGAAAGTAGACACCATGGAACCTCACACAGTTCTCCCAATTGCCAGCAGCTGCCCTGTCTTACTGTCCTGCAACACACCAATAGTCTAATATCTCTTCCCTTTCAAAGGTGATTTTAGTTTTGGAAACAGCCAGAAGTCCCAGGTTGCCAAATCTGGGCTATAGAGGGGCTGAGTCACCTGGATGATTTTATGTTTCACCAAAAAATTGTATGAGACATGGTGCATGAGCAGGTGCATTGTCATGATAAAGCTGCCAATCACCAGTTGTCCATACCTAAAGCTTTCTGAGTCTTCAAATACTTTTCATGGAGGAATGTTCAAGTTTAATGCAATATTTGATGTAGATAAGTTGCTGTACTGGCTCAGTCATTTTGAATGTGATACCCATAGAGTACACATGCTCACTCAAAGGCATCTACTGCCTCCACTGACTAGCACAGTGAGGTCATCATTGTTCATGCATGCACATTGCAGTCCATTCTCCTTGGCTGCCAGGTTACATCAATGTCACTCAAACCATTCGTATTATATGAAGAATGGCTGGACTTTTCCCCAACAGACCTCACATGTGTAACCTATGGAGACAGACAATGCTGTGGTGATCATTAGAGGGAAGTGGGGTTGGAGGCTGGATATAGATGGCCAAAAGAGAGAAATGGGGACATCTATAATAGTGTCAACAATAAAAATTTAAACAACTTTATTAAAGATAGTTTTAGTGGCAGGCCTTATAGAGTACTATAAAGAGCTCAATGGGCCTTCTTTCCAGTGAAACAACATGGGTAAAAAGTATTTTTATGATCAAGAATTTAAAGTTTTTTGAAGTGGCCTTAAGGACAAATAATAAATGGAGAAAAAATTTTCCAGGAAAGCTACCCAACTTGCTAAGAATCAAGTCAGTAGCATTCAAGCCATAACCTGCCCCTTTCCTTCATTACCTCCAGCTGTGTGGTAGAAGGTCTACTTCAGAGAAACACATCCAAGGAGGAGGGCTACTCTCTAACTCCAGGTATCAGTGTAGAGCTGCAGGTCCACTCTACGAGGGGCATGACACTGACATCTCATCTTGCCCAGGTTCATGTTATACAAACACTGTTCCCATTAGGCAAAACTGAGTGGATAGGGGCTGCCAATTCCCATCCAGTTCCCATTCATACTATTAGATCTTTGCCCAAGTTACAGCAAGCTGAGAATTTAGGGACCCAGTGGCTACTGCCTCACATTCCTGTCCAGCAATTTCTTACTGGAAAGGGCAAGAGTGGTCATATTTACAAAAGACAAAATAGACTTTAACTCAAAAACCATAAGAAGAGACAAAGAAAGACTTATACAGTGATAAAAGTGTAAATTCTCCAGCAAGATATAATGATTATAAATACATATACATCAAATATGCCCAACCTGTGGAATAAACAGTTCACACAATTAAAGTGAGAAATAGTAACACAATAATAGTGGAAGATTTGAATATCCCACATTTAATAATGAAAAACCAGATAGAACATTGATAAGGAAACACTCCATTCCATTCAATTAAACATATACTTATCATTTGACCAAGCAATCCAGCTTACAGACTTAACTAAGTGCAATGCAAAAACAATGATAGACAGATACTGAGTAGTTTTACTCAAAATATTTAGATATTGGAATCCACCCAAATGCCCTGCAACTGAGAAATCTAGAAACAATCTGTGATATATATATGAATACTATTCAGCAATAATAACCGAGAGTTTACTGCTAATATATTACAGGTAGGATTATGTTCCTAAAAATTTCATTTGTTAGAGTCCTTATTTTTAGTACTTCAAAATGTAACCTCTTTTGGAAATAAGATTTTTGCTGATTTAATTAGGTAGGATTAAGTCATACTGGAGCAGGCTATTCTTGGAATCCAGTATGACTCATGTCCTTTTAAAAAGGAAAAATATGGGAACTTCTGGCAAGATGAAGGCATAGGTGGATGCCCTGTACCTCCATGCACAACCAAGATTAGAACATCAACAACTTAGAGGCAGAATAACACCCAGAACTGATAGAGAATTTATCTCAATGGAAGTTGGACAGCCAAGAAGTTGAAGTAGATCCGTTCATCCAGACCAGTAGGAGGGGCGGAGAGGAGCCGCCAGGTGCGGGTTGCAGCATGGGTCACGGCTCGGAGAGCAGAGAGCAGTGGGTGCATAAGGCAACCTGGAGCACCTAAGGCATCTGGAGCCCACAAAATCACAGTGGGTGGACCCTGAGTGCGCAAGCGGTAGCTGGTGGACCCAGTGAGGTGGAGACTGTGGACCAGGGCAGAGCGCACAACCCAGGATCCCAGAGAAGGGACCAAGGTCCCAGAGAACAGAGTTACCAACATTGTTACCTCCTGCCCCCACCCCCACATACAATGTCACAATCTAGCGACTGGGGTGCCCAGCCCCAGTGAACACCTAAGGCTCCACCCCTCACTGTAACAGGAGCGACCAGACCAAAAAAAAAAAAAAAAGAAAGAGAGAGAGAGAGAGATGTCTCAAATAGAAGAACAGATCAATGCCCCAGGACTCATCCTTTTGAGCAACCAAGAGATAGCCAATCTATCAGATGCACAGTTCAAAATACTGGTGATCAGGAAGCTCACAGAATTGGTTGATTTTGGGTGCAAATTAGATGAAAAAAATGTAGGTTACTATAAAAGAAATGAAGGAAGATGCACGGAGAACCAATAGTGATGGGAAGAAAACTGGGACTGAAAACAATAGAGTGGACCAGAAGGAAGAAAAAAACAACCAAACAGGAAAGAATGGAGAAATAAGAATTCAAAAAAATGAGGAGAAGCTTAGGAACATCCAGGACATCTTTAAACGTTCCAACATCCGAATTATAGGAGTACCAGAAGGGCAAAAGAAAAAGCAGCAGATTGAACACGTATTTGAACAAATAATAAAGGAGAACTTCCCCATTCTAACAAAGGAAATAGACTTCCAGGAACTCCAGGAAGCTCAGAGAGCCCCAAAGAAGTTGGACCCAAGAAGAAACACACCAAGGCACATCATAATTACATTAGCCAAGGTAAAAATGAAGGAGAGAATCCTACAAGCAGCAAGAGATAAGGGGACAGTAACCTACAAAGGAGTTCCTATCAGGCTGTCAGCTGATTTCTCAAAAGAGACCTTACAGGCAAGAAGGGGCTGGAAAGAAGTATTCCAAGTCATGAAAGACAAGTACCTATGTCCCAGATTACTCTATCCAGCAAAGCTCTCATTTAGAATGGAAGGACAGATAAAGTGCTTCTCAGATAAGGTCAAGTTCAAGGAGTTCATCATCACCA